ACGCGTTGCAAGTGTGACCAATTTGTTGACTATTCTATATCGAAATTTCGATTTATCTTCTGCTTTAATGGGACAATGTTTACGGGCTGTTTTGTATTTGATAAATAGATGATATATGTAGTAGCATATATTGTACAATTCATCACAAAATTTTCCGTTCATATTATGACTGATTCACGTTTATTGCTTTGTAATTTTATCTTTTATCGTACGAATATATGGCGGAACAGTTCTATAGAGATGTTGATAGCACTATTGACAATCACGTGCTGCGCCCCTTCTCATTATTGCTTAAACCGGTTTTTGAAAGAGTGTAGCATGTATTTCTATCGAATCGATGAGCTTGCAACTAAATGAAGAAACGAACATTATTAAGTTCCTCAGAAAGTTGAGAAATAAAATTGAACGATTAAGCTTCTATCATTTCTCTTGCAAACAATTTGGGAATTGTAATTAATCCATTGGAATTGCTGTCACAATATCAATTTATAGAAGACATAGTCAAGCTTGCCAATGTAATATTTCCAATTGCACACTTGCAGTTAATTTTTTCCATGGAGTTTAATTGCCGTGCTGACCGACAATTAAAAAAACTAATGTTTCTGTTCATTACTATTATTTCTGGTCGAACAGTTTTTGTTGAATTGTTTTCTTAAATTATTTTCTCTGTATTCAAATACACAATTGTTATTCTCATCATATGCTGGAAGTATGAAAAAATGTCGGTTGCAGAGGTTGAACAAAATCCACAGATAAAAAACGACAAAATCCATATTATAGATTCCATAAATGACGTGTTTTAAATCTTAATGGTTGTATGTCTGGGAATCAGCAAATATATTAAAGTTAAATTTCATAGTGCTAAGTAAGTAGTGATTCCGCTAAAGAATATCCAATAATTTAGCACGTTTGCTTTAGCTATACTAAATTTTTTTAAAGAAGGAAATTTAATTTTTTTTTAAATGTCAGACTATGTTGTGTCTTCATTAATTTATCATTGGACATGCGAGTTGGTTCATTTGTTGACTTTGCAGAGTTTTTAAATCGTTATATTCAGAAGAAAATATATATTACGGTCCGTCGCATGCAACAGGTCATTAATCAAAACACAGTCATCGAATGTTCTTCCATAGATGTAAATTTGTCAATGTATTTCAAACACGTCGTCGAAAAAGGTAATGGTTTTGACACGATTTCATTAAAATTCAAGGTGATTTTCATTTGTATCTTATTCTGTCTAGAATCAAGGGTCACCATGCCATATTGTATCTCGATTGATATCGATTCTGTATCTTCCGCACTTAATATCATTATGGAAATAAATTACATGTATTCAGCATGTAATTTAGAACATATGATCGAATTTATCAGATTTTCATTTTCATCTCAATATTGGAATAGTTTTTTTTTTCAAGAGCAACTACGACTTAATCATGTTTATACAGTTGCTTACCAATTTCAGTAGAGTACAATATATTAGCCATATTGCAAAAACAACAACAACTGTGCATGCTATTGTTTTCACAACAATTACTTCCTTGTGGGATGCCTAGGTCTTCATTGTTCATTGAAATTGCAAATATACGGAGAAAAATGCCATATTATAAGACATTCCGGAGTTTACATACAATATTTTGCATCGATTACGAAACAAGAATTGTTTATATAGAGAGGTTTTGCTCATCTCCAGTGTTTGCTAAATCGATAGAATGAATACATTAGAGCCATCATTCAAATAAGCTTTGAAGAAGGAGAAAAAACAAATATTGAGCGTGTAAAAAATGGCTTTTCGAAAATAATCCCAAATGAGTTTATAAAAAGTGAGTGTTTGCTATCCATGTAAATATTTACCTGAACTACTCCAATAGCATTATATAATAGTGAATACATTTGAATTATTTTCTAATAAATTACATTTCTGCTGAAAATCTGTAAATTTATGCATCTGATTAAAACAAAACATTCGGAAGTTATTTAATCATAATATAAGTTCCTTTAGAATTTATGAATTTTTTTTCTAATTTCTTCCAATGAAATGTGAGTGTAAACACTGTTATATTCATATTAGGTCACTTTTTTTATTGCTTCAAAAAATACATATTTATTCGTTGATAGCGTAAATTAAAGCCTTTCCGAATGAATATGAATAATATTTCAAATGTCGATGGGACTCTTGTAGCATCTGGTCAATGTTGAAGAGTTTAATTCATTTTGAAAAGCCTCCACTTTCATATCTCGAACAGCTACTCAATATTTATGAGCATTCACTTTAGTGCAATCAAATTGTATGAAGTCACGTGTTCTCGCAGTTTGAATTGATGTTTTCATGCTTGTTCTTTTTATTAAAATAAGAGGAGAACGACAATCAACAGAAAAAGATTGTAACACAATCCACGCATTTACTCACGCCATCGTCGAATGAAACATACACATATATATATATATATATATATATATATATATATATATATGTTTCGAGTTATTTAGTACGATTGATAAGGAAATGAAAGTGCTGATATCTCGAACAATACCCCCGCGTGCCCTGTATATAATCGTGTTACTTTAACATTGAATGCATTACATAAATACATTTCGATTTGCATGTGTCGATCTTGACACTGGCTACGAATGGGTTTAGATTACGTCGCTCAAATGCGTTATCAGGTTAGAAACCATTTAAACGCGACAAGCATGTGAAATATCAACGCTATTTTTAAAGCTTTTTTCGTTTTGTAGTAGTATTGTATATGGATAGCATCAAACATTTGAAATGACTTCTGTGTCATTTGCTTTTACGCCTTGATTATGAGGTAAATACTTCTACTAAATTTTCCATAGGGCAGAAGCACTTATTTTTTACACCGTTTTTTTGCAGAAGCGAAAAACAGCCTCATCAAATTTATACAGTAGTTTCAGTAGTGAATTGTATTTCGTTGAAACGAAACCTGAGTTTGACGCAAAAACAAAGTTCCCATAATACAATTATTTCGTATTAATGCAAGTTCATGTACAACGCAGCTTCTCTTTGTTTCTAGACTTCTTTTTGAACGTGACTATACTGCTGGATTGTGTTTCGTTCTAACTTGATTCTTATCATTACCTCTCTAACATATAATTGAATATTTTTTTAATAGATACATTCATGATGCATTTCATTCTAATTTTGTCAGTCATGGACTGATTGTTTGAGTAAATAACCGTATATTTTATTGTGATGCACACCAAAATCAATCACTACACATTTATTCCGCTTGACGATGCATCAGCAATTTTCCATAACTAAATCTAGAATGCAAGCCATAGACTTTTAGTTCCTGTGTATTTCTCGAATGAATTTTGTTTTTAAAGCTTTATCTATGCATGAAATCATAGTCAATGGGTGGTTTAGTGGATTCAAATAGGCAAGTTTCTGAAAAATCGTTGTCTGCCTGGAACAATGTAATAAATATTTCGAATTAACAACACAAACGGTGTACTAATACTGGAAAATTCTTGTTTGGTTTTTATTGTCGGCCTTTTTCCACATTGGATGGCTCTAATAAATTATCAATGAACAGTTATGCAACTAGCTCCAAAGTTGTTTTTTCGCCTTACCATGAGCATATTTTCCACATTGTTTGACTATAGAGTCAATAGGTTCTCAAATCTTCAATGAAAGTTTTCTGTAGTAAGCCAATTTCACTTTCTTTACTTCTACTTATGTCTACAATTGCAAATCATGGTTCAACCAACATATCCTCCAGCGAAAACTAAGTATAGAATCAAATGTGCAGGTGCATGTAAACATACGACGTTTACATGTTTCTGTTTTTTTGCTATCGAATTGAACATTGTTTGTACTTTAATGTCGAAGTCTTTAATCGATAATGGAAATTCATTAAATATTTACGGCTTTCGCTTATTTTCAAGACCTTTTACGCTTTTTCGGTCAATGTCCGCTTTGACATCAAATGAAGTCTATTAATAGGCAAAAAGTAAAATGTTTGATTGCAGTTTTGAACCCTTTAAAACTTGGATATTGTATACGTTTTCGGTATGAATATTTGAATCGGAAATCTTGAGCGACAATAGAAAAAATATCAAACCACATTTCACTACTCATCTAGACAAACGAATGAACATGGGAATACCATTTTAAATTCATAAAAGCGAATAAATATTGTGAAAAATTTCAATCAACGTGATTGGTACGCAAATTTGCTTTATTATTAAAAATTGAGAAATCGAATACAACGAACTTGTTATGAATTATCAACTGTCATTTTCAATTAAAATATTCAAGTTTTTCATTGAATATCACGGAGGACGGTAGTCCGACAAGCGACGCTCCATAGACTGTGCATATCAAGCCGAATGTCAAAAATGCCAGTTTTGGCGTCACGACCATATATATATACAGAAGATATGCTATTTTCTCAGGACGTTATTTGTAGGTCTTGGCCCAAATAGTCGAAAACAGCCCCTATGCCTAAAATGTAGTCTAGTCAAAAATATAAAAATTTGGTATAGGTTGCAAAATTTCGATAAATTGTCAGATCTACCACCACATCCTCCTAAGGGGGTATACAGAGGATGGTCTGGGGGAAGACGGTGACGCTAGGATACTGTATTATCACTGGATACGGAGTTCAAAAGTGTTTTTCGCATTCACATTTGTGAAAATTTACTCACAATAAGGAACAATATCGCGTCACGACTTTTGATTTTAGATCAAGTTTTCAAGCATTTTGCCGTCTAAAAGTCGTGACGCGATATTTTTCCTTTTTGCGAGTAAATTTTCACTATAGTGAATGCGAAAAACACTTTTGAACTTCGTATCCAGTGATAATGCAGCGTCAAAGCGTCACTCAAAATGATACCATTCTTTTTGAGTGGTAAATCCACGCACAGGAGCATCAGTCCATTTTAACCTAATCTAGAGGTTTTTCATCTGATTTAGGATACTATAGTATACACATACACATTCGTTAATACTCCATTTGATGTTGTTTCTGTTTTAGGACCAGAAAAATGGCCAGAACTTTTTCCTATGGCCTCTGGACATAGACAATCTCCGGTCAACATTAATCGAGAAAGAACCACTCGTGGATCGACTCTTAGCTCCAAGTTAACTTGGAGCTATGTCCCAGCAAATACAAAGAGCCTCGTTAATCCTGGCTACTGTTGGAGAGTCGACGTGAATGGTGAAGGGTCTAGATTAAGCGGAGGACCATTGCATACCGATGTTTTTCAACTTGAACAATTTCATTGTCACTGGGGCTGCTCTGATGGCAAAGGATCTGAACACACTGTTGATGGAGTTTCTTACTCAGGGGAACTACACTTGGTGCATTGGAATCAAACTAAATACCCAACTTTCAACGAGGCTGCAAAGCATCCAGACGGTCTAGCTGTTCTGGGCGCATTCTTGAAGGTACATGATTGAAAGAGACAAATGAATGAGAAAACGAATCATTGCATTTAACATCAATTTCAGATTGGTAAACATCATGATGAATTGCACAAAATTACCAAACTTTTGCCATTTGTTATGCATAAAGGCGATCGCGTAAGTATTAAACTATTCATGGTAAATTTACCAAATTTGAATTTCTTCAAATATTTGCTCAATATTATGCCACAAACAGGTAACACTTACTGAGCCATGCGATCCGGCAAAATTACTACCAGAAAATAAGGCCTTTTGGACATATTTGGGTTCGCTGACGACGCCACCATTTTCAGAATCTGTAATTTGGATGGTTATGAAGGAACCGATCGAAATTTCTCACAAACAAATTGAATTGATGCGCAACCTGCGATGCTACGATGTGAATGATGAATGTCCTTGTGACGAGATTTTGGGCAAAGTGGTTAACAACTATCGACCACCATTGCCTTTGGGAAACAGAGAACTTCGCGAATATGGACATCACTGAAATGACTGTTTGAATTCCAATTTTTATGCTTCAATCCAACTCGAAGCTGCACAAAAACACATTTAACACATATTTGCATAACAAATAAAGCACATAACAATAAAAAACACACACAATTTAGATATACAGTATATAAAAGGCGGCAAATTTTCCTTTTCGTGTGAGAATATAAAGATAAACCAAACAGTTGCCTAATAAATAATATTTTATTCTCATTTGAATTCAAATTTAGTCTAATGTTGTTGTGCATAAAATTTGCAACTCACTTTACATTGCTTACAACAAATATGCAATAAGCGGACAATACAGATCGCAATTCATTTTGAAACAGCAAATAAGGGTTTCAATCCGTATGAAATCGATAAAGTATCACACAAGGCTTTTTAATAGATATAGTTTAATTATTGAATAATCCAGATTGTGCCTAATGCATTTTATAAGAAAAATTTACAATAGATCTGATGAACAGAAAAAGAAATATCAACAATTTTAATAATGAGTTTGAAATTCAATTCAAAAAAATCAATCTTAGTTTTTATCAAATGATTTTTTTTCTTCTTGAAAACAGACAAAGATAAATGTTTTTGTGAAAGCAAATGTCCATTTGAACAAAGAACTAAATAAAAGATTGACATTTGAACAAAATTACTAGCACGTAACGCACAGGGTTGTTCAGAAAAAGTTTTGGTTTCAATTGATATTGTTTTTTTTCTCTAGAAAAAACGTAAATTTTTCATTTGATTTGATTTCATTTTGAATCATACATTCAAAAATTATACATATTATTAACGTAGACAACTGTGATGTTGATTTTCGGAATAAAAATATAGCTAACGATAGATTTACATATGTTTTATTATTTTAATGAATTATTACAGAAGATTTAATTTTCTGGCATTCATAGGAAGCGAATCAAATACTGATTCTATCAATACATGCAAGGATTCTAGTGGACCATCAAGGTATACATGGTGTTATAAATATTGACATTTGTCATTTCAGCGAAGAAAAAAATCATTAAAAAGCGTGAGTTTATTTATTTTTCTTTACTGCCAAGTACTGGCTGAATTTAAGTTTCTGCAGGATAAATGAATCCATCATTAACCTGATCTTTGTGTGTGTGTGTGTGTGTATATACAATTTAGGATTTAACAGTAGTAGATAGTTTAGTTTTATATAAATTTTGGCTCTCGACTAATTGAAAAATACTGATTCATGAATAAGTGAATTACCAAATATGAAGATGTCTATAGGAGGCCGATTGTCAACGGTTCAAAAATGTCTAACTTAAACGTGCAAAAAATGGAAGGCCCGCTGGAGCGTTAAAAAATGTTTTGTCGGACTCAATGACTGCAAAAGTCATCATTTAATTTATCAAAGAGGTAATGAAGAGAAGTTCTATGTCTAATCTTAATAAGTCTTCGCTGGATGTTTTTAATTTACAATTCACATCGCGACCGAATGATATGACACCTATAGAAAGAGGTAGCGATTAGGTGTCTTCGGCTTATCTATTTCCAGTAGCGAGAAAAATGCAAAAAACGTCTTTTCCGCTCAATGCTGAGTTGGGTCACTTTTGCTTGCAACTTTATTTGTCTCTTTTTTCCTTCAAGTTTTTTCCGTCTCAGTTATAGATAAAGAGCTCATAACTTTTTCCTTCATTCTATGGATGTCATATGTATCTTTATTGTTCCAAATACTGGAACATATTTATCAATTCTAAATAAGATTAAAATGATATATTTTGCTTTTAAATCAAATTGTAAACCCTATTTTAAATAAAGCATGAGTTAATAAATGAAAAAAAGCCAATTTTACATAACCTAAGGATAAAATGGAAGAACCAGCGCTTGGTGGTGAATAATAATGAAGAAAATTTGACGAATTTTTCAATTGATATACCCATTTCATAATAATATCCATGAAAGTAAATCTAGCATATGAGACGGATTATGTGTTTGCTTCTAAACTCCTAAGACATAATGCTTTGAAAATGCTTTTTAAATTATTTCATATGAAAATCAAACGAACATACATCCACTCAAATTTTTCACCACGCAATGGCATGTTCACTGTTCAGCGCCATCTGCTAGAAAAAAAATCAAATCTAGATACAGCTGTCAAAAAATTACTATATCGTATCATTATTGCATTTGACAGTCAAAACAACGTGGATTTTCAATCTAACCATGCTCTGGACTGAGCCAATATAGTTCTATTTTTTCTGTAATTAGAGTGCAAATCTAACAAGATTCTTAGAGTCATTCAATTTATTTAGGGATAAAAGATATTTTCGGACAAAATGGGGAAAACACGAAAACCAAGATATCGAGCAAAAAAATCAAATCCGGTTGGTATACCTAGTTTGCGCGATATAAGTTTAAACGAGGAACTAAACGGCGATGAACATCCAGAAGGAGCATTGGCTGCGATTCGTGATCAGCTGCAGTCGGGCAGCACAGAAGAAAAAATGTGTGGTTTGCAAGCCATGGCTTTCCTGTCTCTAAATCAGAAAAAAGCACAGGCCATGTGCGAAGGAGATATCATTCGTATAGCAATTCCACTTTTGGTTGATCCAAATAAAAATATCCGCAATGCGGTAACAGGGGCTCTTCGTAATGTTTCTCTCTGTGACGTTGATATATGCGAACTATTGGTTGAACAAGATATTTTGACTCCATTGTTAACACTCATTAACGAATATACAAGTGCAGCTGATTGGGTACCAGTTATTGACAGATCGGTTGCGCATATAGATCAGCTTGATATTGCGGGTGACACATTTTTGCAAGCCGTTAATTTGGTGTGGAATCTTTGCGAGAGTACATCCGTTGCACTACAACATTTTAATCAAACCAATATTTTGGAAAGTTTTGTTAGATTCCTAAATTATACTGTATTTGGTATTGACATTTGTAAGTTGATTAAAAACTTATTCATTTTATTTTTCGAATAATTGGTTGGTATTAATGCATGTATTACCAATTTTTCAGCTGTTGCGGTAGCCCAGTGTTTATTGGTGATTTCAGAAGATAATCCTGTTGCCTGGCGTGTTTTGAACAATTTCGCCCAAGATATAGCTTTTTTGATAACAAATATTGAGCGTACCGAACAAAATGTTGTGCTACGTACGGTTGCCGCAGCTATTTTATCAAATGTTCCGAGTCTATCGACGACATACATAAATCAGATTTTTGATATACTAAATCAAGCTCTTGATATAAATCACAGAACGCTGTTGGGAAAATTGACTAGCTCGATTCCATTGGATCGGGAAAAAGAAGAAAATTCTGTTGGTATCGAAGTAGCATCTGCAGAACGAATGGAAGAAGAAACTGAAGAGCAGGCAACAAGAAGACGTCGTAAACAAGATTTACCAACTGAACACGACATTGAAATTAAACATGTTGCATGGATCCTTGAAGCTCAGCGTATTGCAGCAGAAACTATTACAAATATTTGCTCTTCCGATGATAATGGTAATTTGTATTTCTATTTCTTTTTCTATTTCTATTTCTATGTTTTTTTGAATTCCATCAATTGAAGGAATTGTGAATAAAAAATATTTTTTTAGATGGCAATGCCTTAGACGATGATGATTTATCTGATGCAGAAAGTGTTCATGATTACGACAAGGATTCTTCAAACTCAAGTGGATTGCAAGGTGACAAATTGCCAATTGAGATCTTGGAACCAATAAAATCACTGGGATTAGTTGAAAAATTATGGCAACTTGCGCAACCAATTGCGGAAAATGTTAACGAATTACTCAAAGAAGCCGAAAACGGTTTATTCAAAAAGTAAGATAATCAACAAATATTTTTGACTTGTCGTATAGCTCAATTGAAAAGTATTTGTCATCATTTGTAGGGTCAAAACATTACGCATTTCATCTTTACTATGTCTGCAAAATCTGTGTAATGTGATGTCTATTGAGGATTTGGGAGGTGCATCGGCTGTTTATAATGTATGGATTGACTTAGGTCAACAAGTTTTCCAAAATAGCCACGATATTGCATTGGTCGAAGCATCAACTGCCCTGATGCGTGCTACGCTAGACCACTTGCGCACAAGTACAGATCTGTTCAAACAAATGACACAGAATGATTTAGAAATGATGCTCAAAGGTGCTGAAGTGTGTACTGAGCCTGAAATTCGTGCTAATTGGCTACGTATGCTGGGTGTATTAGGATGCTTATTGCCAGAAAATTCAGTTAAAATCATTATTGAATGTTTGCTTCAGCAATGTTTCAAAGAAACCGATGTATGGACACTGTCCGAGGCACTCGATGCTTTAATGGATCTTTTTTCTGACAATGATTGGAACCAAATCTCATACGAGTTGAATTTGGCACAGAAAACAAGAGAATTAGAAAAAATCTTGAAACATAAATTGCGCCAACAGAAACGTGAGCTTTCTGAACGATATCCAGCTGTTTGTACCGTTCGAACTAATTTAACGCGTTTCGTGAAGTATGTGGAAGCCGAACAGCGTAAATACAAACCTTGAAATTCTTGAAATCGATGTTGTTGTATCAAAGGAGATAAGTCATTAATACTTGTACACATTTTCACACGACATTTCGTGTATTATATTCTAATATAAAAAATTATATTTTGTTACGAATAAAGAACATCAAACATTATTTATTTTTGTTTTTACTACACTACTAAATGAAAAATTGATTCTTTTCCATATATATAATTTTTTATTCATTCATTGCACATGCACATCCGAATAAATAGACTTCTTTGAAACAATAATAAAGTTTGAAATAAGAACTCGTGGAAGAGTTATTTTTTAAAATCAGCTGCATTCTATGTCAAATATATATATATACGTAATATATAGATTCGATTTCGCACATTTGTTTTAAATATTTATGGCACTTAGTATAGTATAGGGTGTAGAGTAGTATAAATATCCTACAAGAGCAAATAATGGATGAATTCAATTTGCAAGGTAATAGCTGATTTATTTGTCACTTTGAGACCGCAATTTCAGTTAATCGATCCTTGTGTTGAGTTTCGATGGCGACGTGGCTTTGGTACGGGATTCCATTCAACTTTTTTGTCCGTATTTTTGCCACGCAGGACGCACTTTTCGAAAATAGAATTTGGATTATTGTTGTTAAACTCGTTAAATTTTTCAACAAACAAAGGAATATTGCTCATATCCTCATTTTTAACATTGTTATTTACTTCAGCAATATCACTGAACATTTTTTTATTTTGATAAGGTTTTTCGACTGAATCGTTCATGTTGCGATCATTAAACGAAGGTTTACTATTGAACGATTTCGATGAGGATGAATGTGAGGCTTGGAATAGATCAGTGTTCATTTTATCTTTTTCAGCCTTTTCGGTTTTTAAATCTTGATTGATTTTCAGTAAACTTTGACATTTATTTATCGATTCAATGATTTCTTTCACTGATCGTCTTCTTTGTGGTGGTGTTGGTGGTTCTTTTTTTGCCCCAACATCTTTCTTTCTAATTTTGGGCGAATCTAATTTCAATGGAATAGATCGCACTTCATATCTGCTAAAAGTTTGATTTACATGCTCACATTGACGTTCAAGAACGGTCATTTTTTCTTTGGTCATACTTTCTATTTCCTGTTTATCATTTGGGTCAGAATTGTCTGTATCGTCTTTCGTCAAGTCATCACTTGATTCAGTAATTTTGAGCAAAGTTGTGTCACCTTTGTCGGCCATATTCTCATTTTCGAGAATGAACTCGACGGCGGAACTAGTTGGTGTGGTTGCTCCTTCTGTGTCTTGGATTACCTTCATAGTTTCTAAGTATTCTTTTGGATCGTCATTTTCAGCATCAATTTGGGTAGATTCTTCATTTGCTGATTCTTTTAGAACACATTCTTTTTCTACAACAACAATTTCTCTCTCAGTGTCTTTGGAACCATATTCATCACTTTCTGGTTGCATGGTTTTTTCATATTCGTCATCTATAGTAACTGAAAGAGGTTCCTCATCAGTTGGAGCTCTGATTAAAATTTTCACCGGGCTCCTTTTGCTGCGTTCGTTACTATTGATATCTGTTGCGCCCAAATTCTGAATTTTTTCGATGGTTATTTCTTCACAATGCTCATCTTGTAATTGTGGATAGAAATCGTTACTTTCAGGACTTTGTCGTGATGTTTTTCCCTTATCGTGCTCTTCGTCTTTAATTTCGGTCTTTTCGTTGTTGTCTCTCTCATCGGTTTTAAGTGTGATTGAATCGGTTTGTTCAGATTTGGATTCAATTTTCTCTTCGTCAGTGTCGGCTATGCGGACAAATGATTCAATTTCAGCAGTTAAATTAGTAATATTGACTTGTTCCGCTTCGACTTTCAATTCTGCTTTGTTTGGCTGTAAGTAAAATGAAAATTAACATGCAAATATAACAAGGTCTTAAATTCATAAATGCAACTACAAATTTATAAACAAAGGATTGGGATTTGATTGTTTGAAGATGCACACGTGCGTTTTGTGAAAATATCTCAATAATTTATACTTATGAAAATAGTCCCGGAAATCTTGTTAATATCCAAGAAGTTTTCTTTACTCACAATTTGGATCCGATGAAGAAAAAAAAAGGAATGAACAGATGATCGAATGCAATTTAAGCTTAAACTTGAAATTTTACGTTTGCATTTACAATAAACAATAATTCTTTACTCACGGAAACCGGAGGCGGTGGAGCCCGACGTTTCTTCCTTGCTGAATGTCGAATCGATGATCGTTCTGGACTTCCAACCTGGCTTATTGTTTCATAATCATCATCAAATGGATTTGAGCTATTTACGCTAAGTTGTGACGAACCGCGTGATATTGATTGTTGATTGTATCGTGATCGGAATACGGGTGTAACTGCACCAATAGCAGCATTGCTATGGGTCGAGCTACCAGCCTGCATCGTACTTCGATATCGGTTATTGCGAATGAAATTGTTCTCTCCTTGATACTGTAAAGTTACCCCAAAATTAAATTGTAGAAAAAAATGGAATTCTGAATACACCACTGGGTAAATTGTCAAATGTATCTTACGCGTGAAGTCGAATTTAAATCTTGCAAGGAACTTCGGCAGGGCGCACCACGCTGGAAATCATTTCCCAAACCAATATCGACCGTATGTCGTAGTCGGCCATCAAACGTTGTTTGACTTCCATATCGATCTTTATCCCCGCGAAGCATTGGTGGACTTTCAGATGTTTTGTTGACCCCAAGTGTTGAGGACTTCTTCTTCAATTTAAACGTCTTGAACGACCTTATGAAAGGTAATGGAATTGAAATCGAAACAATAAAAAATGAATCATTTTCACACGCATATATATATGCCGAGCATATTATGATCTATTCAGATATTATTATCTGAAACCATTTTCCAGCTAAGGTAAATAGAGAATTGGTAGATAAGTTCTTTATTCAAGATCATAAACATATTTTGTACATTCAACGCTGAGTTTATTTCCATTTTGATTGGCGTAAAGCTACTAATTAACGAGCTATGTGTAGTTTGTGCCTAAACAAAGTTCAATTATTGTGTGAATTAACAGAGTAGAAAGTTACAGAATTCGTTTCGTTTGTTATGATGATATTGATATGCAACCGAAAGTGGGTCAAATTTGATTGTGTGAAAAATTAACTTGCAGTTTAAGCAGTTGTAGAGGTTTTGAATTTTATTTATGATTCAAACCAGTGAACTCACCAAAGGCCTTTGAGCCCATCTATACTGAAACTGTTGCTTCGATTGGGTTTATTACTGCCGATTTTCCAAAATCTCAACCTTTTATGGTTTTCATCCTCATAGAATGGATTTAAATGCTCTGGGTATTCGTAGACTGAGCGTTGGCTGGTTGACGCTTTCATTCCATTACCGTTCATTTTTCCTCTGTAAGAAAAATCAGATTGAAACGACAATTTTTTAAACAATCAAAAAACTTCAGAAAGATTCCATACGTTATATATCTATAGGTGAGATTGAGAGTAGTGTATGTTTCACTGACTTTGTTATGAAAGAGAAGAGTAAGTTTCTTTCGACTTAAAAATGGTTAAAGGAGAGTATGTTCATTTTTGGCGGGTCGTCACGGTTTTTTGCGGTTTTCGTGGAACTGATAAGAGATAACAACTTGGTCTCTTCGGCAAAGTTGTAGTACTCGATGTCCTCTGAACTAAGCTTAAGTTATCTCTTATGTCTTATCAGTTCCTCGAAAAGCGCGAAAAATGATAAGAAAAAAAAGTTCTGTATAAATTTTGCTTTTTTAATTGCGCGATTTGCGCGAAACTGATAAGAGATAAGAGATAACTGTCTTCAGCCAAGTTGA